ATGTCAATTAATTGAATGCTATTGTCAGTGACCTCAAGAATAGACTTTACCGTGAGTGTTTGGGTCTATAATCACGATTTATTTTGTCATTTCTTCTCCTTATTTGAATGTAAATAAATCTCTTATGTATAGAAGCAGGTCAAGCATCATGAAGAGCTGCTAAAAGAAGCTGAGAAAAAACGCGTGCATCGACTCATGGTGGCTGGAGCACTTAGGCGTGATGTACTAGAGGGCGAGCTAGAATATGAGGGGATGCAGCGACTGCACTATTCGCGACAGATGCCCGTCGTATTTTCTGGGCGAATTCCTGGAACCAAGCTTAGAAGTGGGATGGGCCTTGTCCAGAACCCTGAAGTTGCAAACTACCGTGCCAGTCATGTAAGCCTTCGAGCTAACATTATTCATCATTATTTCCCTGCTTCTTAAATTTCTAGTATTTCTCAGTCTAAAAGGACTTATAATCAGTTTTTTGCATTTTTATTTTGTTTGTTTCTTTTCCTCTATATTCATCATCATTTGAACCTTTCTGCTATAATTATCCTTTAGAACTCATTGCTTAAAACTAACAAATAAATTTTGCACGTCCTTTCTCTCATTTTATTAGACACCTTTTTACTTCGGTTTTAATGCAGAGTCAAGTTAAAATAATACATTTAGAGGCGAAAATCAGATAATAAGATACTAAGAACGAAGCATAGTGTATTCGAAGCAGTTTTCCTATGTCAAAGCATCAAAGTTAAATTTCTAAACCATTGGGCCAACGTAATTAATATTAATTAGTAATCAATATGGCCTCTTACACTAGACGGATAGATAGTACTAAGCTCAGAAATGCTAAAATATTTATTCGGTGAATAGTTGTAATGCAGAACAGAGATTAGCTTAACATTTTTAGCGTTGGCTTTATAGGAAATCTGTTTTTATTGCGCAACTGCAGCTTCGAATTCGTGTTCAGGATACAATTTCTCGTATTTATCCTTGAAAGTTTAGCTCTGACTATCCTCTATTAACCCAAAAATATGAGAAAAATAGTCATTACATATAGTGTCAGAGAAAGAGAGCTGTAGTGCGTAGTGGGTTATCGTATGCAATTTGTTCCCTCCTTAGCATCAGATTTAAGCTTGGCTTTAGTCCAGCATTACAAATTAAACTATTTTACTAGAAGTTGTCTGACTTGGCTTTCGCAACTTGGTCATATTGGCAGGGATACCTAAAAGAACGAACCTTGTCCGGAGTCTATAGTATGTATGATAATTTCCAGAGTCAGAGCGTAGACTTGGTACATTCCCACAA